TAGAAAGTCATAGAATTGGAAGTGGACGACTTTTTCCAGTATCTTACTCATCGTTGGCAGAATAGAAATTGGACGATAATTTGACGCATCTGTCCTATCTCCAGTTTTGAAAAGTGCAGCCACTTTTGAGCATTTCCATATTTCAGCAAAATTGCCAGTGCGAATAGAGAGATTCAGTAACTTGGTGATCGAGGGACAAATAACACGCGCGCCACACTTTAAGGGGCTTCGCACTGATGTTGTCCAGGCCGATAGCTTTATTTGTCTTCAGAGAAAGCAGACGCTTGAGTACTGTTTCCTCATCAACTTCGTAAAGTGAGAAATACTGTAATTTTGTATCCGATCTGACTGGGAACATAACGGCAGCTGATATTTTGTTTGCAAGACTTCTGCCAATGGAAGCGAAATAATAGTTGAGCACGGATTTAATAGAGGCTGGAGTGGTGTGTTCAACACCATCAGCTACGATACATTGTGGGGTTGAGGATTTAGTCTTGTGAGAAGAAACCTCATTCACCACCTTCCAGATCTTCCCTGAATCCCCTTTTGCCTCTAGAATCAAGTCACAATAATACCTGGATTTTGCTGCCTTGACTTCGCAATTGACCCTATTGAACTCTTTCTCTCCACACGTCTGATCTGTTTTCAAGCAAAGGAAATAAGAAAATTCTTGAAGAAAAGACACCAACACTTCGAATACTATAAAATATGGCAGCTCTGGTATTTAAAAGTACCAGGTCTTGCAGCGTAACCTCAAAAGCTCTTTCCAGGCCCTTTTCGTCCAGGAAAAAAAAGTCATTGAAGGAGTCGTAATGATCTGACCTCTATTCACAGAATGACGATGGTGCAGTGTTGAACCAAAATCCCACTGGTAGCTTTAAGCAGTAGGATAGAATCGCCCCATATACAAAGTCCTAAGTGTTAGTGTTTAGATTTTAGGCTATTAGTTTCTAAAGAAACTGTTAGGGGCTGGGTCGGTGGGGGTAACGAAATAATTTGGATATATCGACAAAGTTGAAATGGTAAATTGGCCACCGCTCGAAAAGTCAGCTTTTGTAATCGTTACGGTGGCCAATTTACCGTTTCAACTTTGTTGAGATATCCGAATTATTTAGATTTTAGGGTTATGGTTCAGCTGTTTTCGTTATTCACGGAAGCTTCCGTGAAACTTGTGTCTAACCTTAAGTTTAGGGTGAGGCCGATGGTAGCTTCCGTGAAACTTTTGTGGCTAACCCCAACTCTATGTCTAACCTTAAGGTTAGGTTAGGTTAGGGTTAGGGTTAGGTTGAGGGTTTAATTTCTTTGTCATTGCCAAGCAATGGATAGGGAATGATATTTTGATCACTGTTTGATAGAAATGTGATCGAGGCTATAGGAATCACACCTTGAACAACAATTACGTAAATAAAACATGGTTCCCATTGCGTTTCGTTTCGCAAATTACACTAGGCCATTTGAAATCCATAGTGAAAACTAAAAGGATACTAAAATACCACCCATATAGGTCAAGTTTGGAAAGCCAGAATGGAATGGTTAACTGCGTCAAAGACGTTTTCATCAAAGCAAAGTGTGTCATCCACAGAAATTCCAAACAAGTCAATTGATTTTCGTAGTGGAAAAGAGAATACATGATCCGAGTTTCCTATTATCATGGCTTGGTATTTGGTGGGATTGACAAGCATAGCTTTGCCTTTATACCATTGGTTTCCGATCAGTTACCTTATTGCATTAGCCGCTTGTCCAGTAATTTAAGGTCTTCATCCGAGTCATATAATTGTTTATTGTCCCAATACGCATGAAGCTTCATTTACTCTAATAAAGCGGAACGAGTCTCTCTTTTTCTTGTGCTTGTAAGAAGGGGAACGGTGATTTAATTTGGCACGCAAGTTGAGATGCAAGTTCGGCGGGAACACTGCAGAAGTACTTGTTGATTGCATTTGATATTGAGAACGGCTGTTCAAAGTGTTTGTCATTTACTTGCATCTTGTCTACGGTCACATTCGTGTTATCGCACATTTTCTGAGAGTTCGTGGAATCTTCAACTACCTATTATTATCATAAAGTGCGCGATATATTTTGTTAATGGCCACTATTTTGTTGTGATGATAAAGTTTGTATTTATCATGTTCATTTTCTTACACAGCTGATTACGAATTTGAATTGATTTTCTTAAACCTCCAGTTACCCAGGGTTTACTGGCCGACTTTTTTTTAATTTTGTTAATTTTCAAAGATGCATGCCCATTGCTAATTCTGTTAAAAATATGAAGGAATCTCGAGAAACTTTCATTTGCATCATTGCTATTATATGTACGGGAAGCCAGTTTGCGTTCCTTGACGCATTTTGAAAAGAAAGCGCGTCAAACTTTTTAGAATCTCTAACATCAATTGTATCAGGAATGGGGCTACAATTTGGATCGTACACAAGGCTAGAGAGAGGCAAGTGGTCAACAATTTCCTCTGCAATACTTCCACTTGTATTTGAGGTCGCAAAATTCGAATGGACATGATCTAAGCAAGTAGTTTTTTGTCTCAGTTATACGCGTTGCCTCAAATGCCAAGCGATTAAAACCCATTCCTTCATTCGCCATATGTGGAGCATACAAAAATGAAATGGGTATGTGATATTATTGGTGGTTGGGACAGTCCTCTTTGAGAACGTTTGGGAATATCTTTGAAAACTATCGATCCATGTTTTTCAGTTATGCAGGAAACAAAAAGGAAAGATAATAAACCTAGATGAACATTGAACACAAAATGAAAGGAAGGTATACCTGTTTTTTTCCCCAAAAAACCGGCCAATAACACATCAGTACCTTTCGTGTTGAAAAGAAAGTGTCACGGGAACTCATCTCCACTTCTAAACGTAAAATTTGTCTTTAAAAAAGTATATATATAGTGACGTCAAAGAATGACTAAACTAAGCTGACATGCGGCGAAGTTCGCTATTTACTTTCTATTTTGGAAAAATGGTTGCGAGGAGTTTACATACACACACATATAAAAGTACCCACACCCACTCAAATAATCAATAAACAATTATATTATCCACAACATGATACTTATTTGAATAAAAAAATAAAAAGAAAAGAACACCTTCTTTATGATTGGGACCTGTGCTCTCCCTAGTGGAGAGCACCCAAGAAAATAAAAGAAATACGGTACACAAGTTTTTTGAAGTAACAAATACAACTAAATTTCATTTGCTGCCAAATTATTTAGCGCAAAATGTAGCCTCTGAAATGCCATTTTTTAGTAGATCTAAGAAACATTTCAATTTGCCGGCCTTCTAAAATGTCAAAGGTATTTATAAAAAAACAATCTTCGGGATCTCTAAAAAAGTTCACGCCCTCAGGAAGGCGGTGCGCCATAATGCTACAAAACACTCGGTCTTCCCAATAGCCTGTAGTTTCATCCCATTGTCGCACAGTATCTCAAGCCAAACTTTCTGCTGATTGCCATCTCCCTGACGCACCACTTGGTCTGAGGTGTAAGTTTAGACTTCGTAAGGTGTCTGTTGGGACTGGTTACTTGCAGTGTGGACAAACGA